CTACATAAATGTAAACTGTATAGTTAAAAAAAAAAAAATTAAAAAAAAATATATATATAAGGATGAAGAAATAAACTACAGATAGCACTTTGATTCGATTCGATTAAATGAAATTAGATTAGATTAGATTGAAATTGTCAGGGACAAAACAAGCACAAATAACTGCATTAGCATCAGCAAACAGAGTAACATATATTTATAATAAATTATTTACAATAAAGCATGCACAGTGAACAAGTAATGCACGCACTTAAGTCTTTGGTGAATAACATGTATTCTGCACTTCTAAAACTGATTTATTGTGACTGTTACTGTTTACTGGTATTCATTTGCATTTAAAAGAACCCAACAAATTTAAATGCTTACAAACTTTCTATAGAAATAAAGCGCAAATCTGCTGGAAAAAACACACTGAACAATCGCACTTTCCCTTCAGAAATAAAAAGTCATGTATATCCTACCTTCACAGCATTACTGGTCTTGTTCTCTGCGGGAGGACATGTGCGCATCTTCAGATGGATGTGATCTGTCCTCTCAGCTGCTGGATGTGATCTGTCCTTCAGCTGCTGGATGTGATCTGTCCTTCAGCTGCTGGATGTGATCTGTCCTTCAGCTGCTGGATGTGATCTGTCCTTCAGCTGCTGGATGAGTGAAGCAGCGCTCTGCCCTCTAGCGGCACTACTGTGTGTCTGCACGCCGAGTCACAAATTAAGCTCGCGTAGGCCTTTGCAAATTAAATACATTTTTATAAACACATCCTAAGCCCCCAGTACTTTTATGGTTATAAAATGGATAGCTTCGACTGGACAAACCACGAAATAGCAAAATGCCTTTAAACGCGCCAAATCTCGACGAACCGTAAATGGCTAACTTTGAGCCAGAGCCGTTGAAATTTGTCTATTCCTTTTATTTTTTAATAATCTCAGTTTAATCGCTGTATAATACCAGTTTTATATAAAAACGATTCTATCACAGGAAAGGGGTTGTTTTGAGGTGAGGCAAAGCAACAAAAAGTTCCTTAAAATCACAACTGTATGGGCTCAAGTGGCTGTTTGTATTAGCTTTTCACAAGACCTGATGACGCGTTTCAACGGTCATCAGCATCGTAAATCCTCCAGTTTTTTTTTTTTTTTTTTTAGAAAATGTACGCTACATTTATAACACTATACTTTGTATTATATTACCTTTTCATTCAATTAAAAAAAAAAAAAAAGAAAAGTTAATCACAAATTAGCCTATTAATCCAGGGTTAAACGTGAAAAGGGCGGGAAAAACAGACTTTTCCCCTCATACTGCAATATTTAGCACTTGTCATTTTGGAAGCTTATAACTGCTATTTTTGTGCTCTTGTTCAGTTCAGTGAAAAGTGTCATTGTGAACATGATATTTGAGATTCATTACTAGTTTTGGTCTTGTTCATATTTCTGTACTCATATCCTCCTGACTTTGATATTGCTCTATTTCAGGTACCAGCAAAACTTTGATAGAAACAATCTCGTTTAACCTCAGATATAAATAACTGACAAGGTGATATAGGGTCAGCAGTTGCTCCCGATACAGACTGCACTGACCGACAAGAAGGGATTTTATCAGGTAATTTTATTGGGCAAATAAATCAACATCTTGAAACCCATCAAAAAGATGTCCCGTTTCTATATTTCACCCAAGAAACTAAATATTGAAGACTTTAGGACCATTACCTTTTTTTCCCAAATGTGTCACAATATTTTCATAACAATTAAACAGATTTTCCCCTTAAAATCTCATTACTGCAGTGGAAAAAATTCATTACAAAATAGTAAAATGTGTTTAATTATGAAAATAATGTTACAATGAAAGCATGTCATTAAGACATTCAAATGAAAATGTGATGGAGGTGAACAAGCTTCCAGAACTTATAAAGCAATTTGTCAGAAAAACTGATCCTAAAACAGGCTTCATCGTCTATCATTTTGTTTTTCTTTTAATTTAGGGTTGAAATGTGACTTGGACACATTTTGGTGGGATTCACAAGATGAGTTTCTGTTTGCTGAGCACTGAGAAGGAGGACAAGCCATCTGGACAAAGAAGAAATTGATGAAGATTGAAGATTAATTCATATGTAGACACAGATCAAAGAGCATCAAGCTGTCCTCCACACACTCCCTGACAGAATCATTCCTGAACAGCCTCTGAATTTACAGCTCTGATAGAAGAGTACAGATTGCTGCATAGACAAAAATATCCCTCCCTTTCTCTAAATCACTCCACAATCCACAAGCAGCTGAATATCAAACAGTGATCTTGTAGAGACGGTGCGAATGAGCAAAGCAGCAGGACAAAATTAGAATGTACCCGTCATAATGAGTGAAGCTCATTATAACAGGAAGTGAAGAAGCAGTGAGGCTTTAATGGTGGACAGCTGTGTACATCCATTAAACTGCACAAGAGACCCGGTGAACTCGTCTGACAGCAGCAGCAGAGCAGACGCCTCCCACGTCCATCCCAAACACACTGTCTGGATGTCCAGCACGCTTGAGTTACTTCACAGATTGTGTGAGGCTACCTGATGTCAGAGCGGCGTGGAGAGAGATGATTGGGCTGTCATGACGATGAGAGATCGGTAGTCTGCTCATTTAGAGAGTAAATCAGGGATGACGGTCACTGATATCTTCTCGTTGTCTTTATAAGAAGACTTGCTGAACTATTTTACGCAGTTAACTGACCACAACTGCAAAGTTGTTCACGGTTAAATCATTGTAAACCTTTTGGGTGCATAAACAGATTACTGTGGCATTGCTATATACAGTAGTTGCTAGGGAGTTCTGGGTGGTTGCTAGGCCATTAAGTTTGTCTTTTAAGTTGTAAACGTGCTCTGGGTGATTGCTATATGGTTGCTAGGGCGTTTGTGGTCATTTGCTAGAGGGTTCTGGGTGGTTGCTGGGCTGTTGAAAGGGTGTTCTAAATGGCCACTAGGCAGTTTCTAGCGTGCTCTGAGTGTCTTGTAGAGTCTGTTGTAGTCATTTGTGAGAGTGTTCTAATTGTTAAGCTGAAAGGGTGCTAAAGTGTTCTGGGTGGTTGCAATGGCATTGCTATATGGTTGTTAGGGTGTTCTGGCTGTTTACGTACTTTAAAATACCTTTAACCTTTAGACTTTAAAAGATGCAAAGAGAGGGAGTTGTTTTGTGCAGGATTTTCATCAAGACTTATATTCACTACTTGGCCTTTCAGAAACTAATTCCTGTACTTCAGAGGAGAGGAACACTTGTTTGTTCGTTTATTTATTTATATAGCACAGTTTAATGCAACACCAGGTTGCCCAAAGTGCTTCATAATATCACAATAAAATTACATAATAACAAGCACAGTCTCAAATAACAACACAAATCACAAAACAACATGGATACAATTTAAAATAACTAAACCTGCATCACAACAACTCCTCATTAGTCTTTAAAAGATGTGCTTTTAACACAGCTTTGAAAACCGGTAGTGAATTAATGGATCTAATACTATGAGGGAGGTCATTCCACAGTTTTGGACCAGCTCGCGAAAAGGCTCTATCTCCCGTGTTTGTATTTTGTCCTAGTAACACAGAGGAGGTGTTGGGTTTCAGACCTCAGAGATCTCGTAGGGATATAAACTGATATCATACTTGACAAATACCCAGGGGCTAAATTGTGAAGGGCCATAAAAACGAAAATAAGAATCCTATCAATTATTTTAAGCCAATTTAGTGACGCAAGTAATGGAGTGACTGAGTCATTTTTTTTTGCAGACTTAATCATTCTCGCCGCTGCGTTCTGGATTCTCTGTAGGCGCCCCAGTGCACCACAATCAACTCCAAAATAAAGGGAGTTACAATAGTCCATTCGAGTGAAAACGAGGTAGTGCACCACAATCAACTCCAAAATAAAGGGAGTTACAATAGTCCATTCGAGTGAAAACGAGATCCGTAATGGCTTTCTCCAAATCAGTGGTAGATAAAAACGTTTTCGTCTTCGCTAATAGACGTAAAAGAAAAAAAACAAGATCTCACCACTGTATTTATTTGCCTGTCCATCTTTAGTTCACTATCCAAAACGAAGCCCAAGTCTTTCACATGGGTTTTCATAAAGCCAGCCAGGTGCGTTGAATTTAAACAGAGTCACTTCTTGATTCTTAGGGCCAAAAACAATAATGTCAGTTTTATTTTCATTAAGCAACAAAAAATTAGCAGCCATCCAGGCCTTTACCTCCTGTAAACAAGCTACTAACACCTTTATGGAATCTGGGTTTGACTCTCTCACGTCCTGACAGAACTGAGTATCATCTGCATAGCAGTGGAATGATACTTTGTGTTTTCGAAATATAGCCCCCAAAGGTAGCATATCGAGGGAAAACAGCAACGGCGCCAAGATTGACCCTTGTGGAATTCCCCAAGGAAGATGTAATCTTGAAGAATTACAGTTCCCAACTCTCACTGAAAAAGACCTATCCGTAAGATAAGATTCAAACCATTTCAGCACATTGCCTTTTAGGCCGCCCCAATGTTCAAGGCGCTCAATTAAAATCCTATGGTCCACCATATCGAATGGTGTTTTTGAGGTATTGATTTAGTCTGTTTCATATTGCTCATTCCTTCCATTGGCTCTTGCATAAAAGTTGATGCAACAGTCTGTGAGAACTGCTCATTCTTATCGTTTAAGCTCCCGTTTAATTGACCATGTTGAAAAAAAAAAAAACTCTGTAGGGAAACATTTTTCCTGTCCATTTAACCCATTTACCAGAAAACCTTTTATTTTTTTTATATATTATGTATTGAAATGACACTTAGTGGAGGGTCATTATGTGCTGGGACTAATTTGATAGTGTCTGTCAGTTATTATGCAAACCTCTCATCGTGACATTTTAAAAGCTGCATGTCTAATAATGTCAGTGGCCTCGGTGGTCAGATCCCCAGCTGTGTAAATAATGAGACCAGTCTCTGCTAAAATATAAACATAACTGATTTAATCTGGGGTGAATATTCTGCTGATTTATGATAGTTTCCCCAAGTTTGCCTACAATAAAATGCACATCTTTGCAAAGTATCAACAAAACACACATTTGATACAGAGTTAATGAAAATGCAGAACAGTGTATGCCGTAAAACCATAGTGTTTCTTTCAATGTTGTGATGTTATTGATGCACCAGTCAGCTTGTGCCCAAATTCATAAGCGAGTTGCACCTCAGAGCAAAATTTAGAGCCTCGAGTGCTGACGCATATGGATGTTACACTATTTCGTGCCAAACACACTATTTCAGTCCTTTCGTCAGGTACAGAGAGTTCAACTAATCTCAAGTCATACAGTTATGATTTAAAGAAACAGTATATCTAAAAATGGTTTTGAACAACATGAGGGTGAGTAAATAATGCCTTATTTTTGGGAACCATTCCTTTAAGCCCGAGTGGAAAACTAAAATGTCAAAAATATGGGCCATTTATTTTAGAGGCTAATTTTATTAGTCCACAGTACAAAAAGATCTGTCCTGGAATATCATAAAGTCCTCAGTGACCAACTCATTCCCATACAAAAGAAAAGAAAAGAAAAACAATACTAAACAGTCACTGAAAAAACATGTTTTTTAAAAGATGATTTTGAATGTAAAGAAACAAATCAGAGGCGAGGATCCACTGATCAAAGCCTCAGTTACAGTCCGGTAAGTGTGAGCCAGGTCATTTTTTAGCATATGTGATTTTCATAGCACACGTGGCTGTGATTCTGAATCCCTGTAACGCATCCTTCGCGACTCCGGCTTGAGCCTCACTCTCAAACTCCACAAATGCAATGTCGTGCTTTCCAGGAACCAGACGCACTTCTTTAAACCCTGGAAACCTGAACAGATGGAACAAGATAGGGAGTAAAAAAAATCTGAGCAGAAAAATCTAGCTGAAAGAGCTGGGTGATATACAAGTATGTCAATATTTATGCATTTTTAATCAAAAGGGAAACAGAGTAGATTTCAAGTGTTTAAAGGGATAGTTCACCTTCAGTTGCTGGTCCCCATTGACTTGCATAGTGTTTGTTTTTTCCATACTATGGAAGTCAAAGGGGACCAGAAACTGAAGGTGAACTATCCCTTTAAAAGTTTTCCACATTAATATCCACACGAAAAGAATTTCATATAAAAATATTCTGATGTAATAAATAAAATAAAAGATTACAGAAAAACATTGCCATGAATTACTAAAACATTTACTTTTTTCTAAAGTTTACTGTGTTTAAAACTTACTGGTTGAATAACATGGAGAGCATCATCTCGTTGGTTTCCTCTGGGAGATTATTCAGGAACAGAATATAATTCGGTGGGTTGTCAGGGACCTAAATCAACATAAAATAATTTATTGAGTGACTTAGAATTTCAGGTACATAAACAAAACAATGTATTATTAAAAATACTAAAAATCTAATCACAAAATAAGTGTGTAAGTTGTGTGACGTACCTGGACTGTGGCAGGTGGAGGAGGTTGTGTGCTCACAGCTCCCTGCAGGGAAAATGCACAAACAACTTTAAGCAAAATTTACTTTGATCTTTAACTGTACACTTCACCACAATTTGGCCGTCAGTATCATTATCTAATTACAATGCCTCAGCAAACATGATGCATTTCAACTCACCGCTGGCTTCTTGTTGACATTGGCAGCCTGTTCCTGAGCTTTCCTTTTCTTCTCTTTCTTCTTTTCTTTATCTCCATACGTGCCTCTCATCTTAGAGATCAGGTCCGAGTCGGTTTTTGCATACTGGATCCGCTATAAGTACATGCTAAGGTTAGCGACTGAGAAATGTGTTCTAATACTTTATAATGTGTGAACTGATAAATAATATGAATGACAACATCTGATAAACATCCTTAGTGATTCACAGATGAAGGAAACATCATATGTGACTCTGGAGCACAAAACCAGTCTTAAGTCGCTGGGGTATATTTGTAGTAATAGCTAAAAAATACATTGTATGGGTCAAAATTATAGATTTTTCTTTT